GAAAAAGGGGAGCTGATGGGCTTATCCCTGAGACCACTTCAAGGCCCCCTAAGTAAGCTGAGTAGGAAAAACAGTGCTGTGATGACTCCCTGCAGGGACCCAAACCCTGAGCACGCTCAGCCACCACCTCTGTTTCTGCCATGGAAAGAAAGTACTACCACCTCCTCAAGGCCCCATCAGAAATGACTTCCTTCCATATTCTGGTTCCTATAGCTTGGACTCTATGGGACACCTGCTGATGGCAGGGAGGGCAGAGAGTAGGTGATAAGATGAGGAAAGCCAGAAGACTCCCAGAGAAATCGATACCTCTGCTTTCTAACCCACAAGGCAAGCCTCCCCAGCACCGTGTGCATCATGATCACCTGCGATGCTTCAAAACAAAAAGCTGACTTTCTGACTCGCTCTCTTGAAGTCCAATTTCTGTTCTGAAAACCAAGTTCTTTCTAGCAAGGCTGCAGCAGTTCTGATGCTACACTTTGGGAAACTGCTCTGAGTTTGTAAGAGTCAGTGGGCACAAACCCCTCTGTTGTGTTGCTGGGCGTAAGGGGGGAGATTGTAGGGGCAATATGGAAAACGGCTCTGAGCTTGCAGGGAAAACACTGGGCTCTGTACCTCTTCTGTTACCTCCCAGCTGTATGACTTGGGTAGGGCACATGGCCCGCCTAAATCCCCTCTTCTTAACCTAGGTAGCCATTCCCACAGGTTGTGAGAATTACATGCAACAGAGAATGTGAAAGTACTTTGAAAAGTGTGGCATGCTTATAAGATTCAAAGGATTGCGATATTACCTTTAAAAACTAAGAGGTGACATTACATGAGTACGTTTGTGTGAAAGAGAAAATGGAGAAGAGAGAAGGTAAGAGAGAAGAGAGAAGGTAAGAGAGAAGAGAGAGAGCATGAGGCTGAGACGCACAGACGTTACCCACTGCTCTGTGCTGCTCTCAGAGCTCACTGGCTCTGCTTCCTCCACGTCCCAGCTCTGTAGGATGAACACATAGCCAGGACATAAAAGTCTATAATGCATTAGTTTCTGAATAGGTCGTGGAGACTCATCCTCTTGGCTAAAGGTACAGAGCAGAGAACTTGTTGCCTGTGTCTTCAGTTTCTGTAAAAAAGGAGACAGGATTTAAGGCTATTTATGCCCTGATGAGACTTGTGGGATCTGAGAGCCAAGTCTTGAATCCTAGATTCATGAAGAAATGGGCTGGACAGGGAGAATATCAGGTCTGCTTATCCATTTTGGAGATAACTTGGGGATGCAATCCCAAGGTAGTTTCTTGAGGTGAGCATGGATAATTGCTCCAATGTTATTCCCTGGAGGTGAGGGTCTTGGGAAATAAGTCTTATTTACAAGAAGTAGACCAGCTCCTTATGTGCAGCAATCCTAAAACATAACCTAGGAATGCCAGGCGCAGTGGCTCACACCTGTAATCCCAGCACTTTGGGAGGCTGAGGCAGGCAGATCACTCGAGGTCAAGAGTTCAAGGCCAGCTTGGCCAACATGGTGAAACCCCATCTCACTAAAAATACAAAAATTAGCTGAGTGTGGTGGCACATGCCTGCAGTCCCAACTACTTGGGAGGCTGAGGCAGGAGGATCACTTGAACCTGGGAGATGGAGGTTGTAGTGAGCCAAGATGGTGCCATTGCACTCCAGCCTGGGTGATAGTAAGATGCTATATGTATAACAGTAAGCCAAAATATATTTATTTTGAGATGGAGTTTCCCTATGTATATGTGTACATAAATATATACATACACACACACACACACACACACACACACACACACACACACATATATGTGTGTGTATGTATAACAGGAAGCCAAAGTAACAGCCAAAACTCAAGCTGACTCTACATGTATTGCAGATGGCTTTGATTAGAAAGAGGTCTGGCAAATTTAAAGGATTAAACTTCAACTAGAATGACTCCAGATTTCTATGACCCAAAGTACTAAGCAAAAGCAATAAAAAAAAAAATCCTATTTGGAGAAACATAATGTCACCTTAGAGCTCAAATTATTTCTCTTAATAATTTTTCAGGCACAATATTCAACATAAACCCAAAGATAAAAAAGATGCACAAGGAAGGAAGATTCCAATAGCAAGAACCAACAGAGGGGAGGCATTTAGAGACTCCAGATAATACAGTTATAAGACGTAGATGGAAAATAATGATGCTCAGGTTGCTTTAGGAAATAAAATGAAGCCTGAAAATTTTATCAGGAATTTTTACAAACAGACCAGGCGTGAGTAACCAGCACTCCAGTGAAAAACACATTACTGACCCTGATACAGAAATCACCTTATATTTCTTTCTAGCCGCTGTTCCTGCATGGGTGCTCACTATCCTAACTGCTAATAGCATAAAGTTGGGTTATCTATTTTCATACTTGATTTAAAGGGACATATACAGTTTGTACTCTTTTGTGTTTGTTCTTTTTTTTGACAGTACATATAAATCAGTGTTTAATCATTACTGTAAGGTAATTTAGATACTTTCTATATTTCTCACAAATCACTTGGGTTCTGCTTCTTCTGCATGTATCACAGGCTTCCTTTTCAAACCATCGTTTTGATGCTTTAAATTTCTTGTCACGGCATTGTAAGTTTCATTTGCTGTAAATTATTCTAAAAAGTTTAAAAGTGAGATACTTTGAGCCCCAATGAATGGATCGTATATAATCTCTGCCGCAGGCATTAGGAATAGTGTTTGAACACTTTTTAACAAGTGTCATTCTAGAAAGATGAGATATCACAGCTACATAGAGCATGATAGGTCCACGGTTTTAATGTGAGGCTTGGGGAAATAGACTCTAAAATCCTATTTTTGCATTTATGATGAAGAAAAAGCCCTCAAAACCTGCCAATTTAAATATAAATCAGATGCAGTCACACTGTAATAAATATGTTGAGATAAATAACTTTGTATATTTGTAATTAAAAAAAAATTTAATTTCCAATTTTGCTAAATTCAAAAATACATACAACTTAAAGCAAATAGGGCACAATGTTAACACCGGGCGAGGGTTATATGGTGTTCGCTCTACTACTGTTTTCCTTTTGATGTAGATTAGCAATTTTTCAATATAAAAAATGAAAAAATGTTTATAAGACAAAGTGTATGTCCCTGAGTATCACTAGTTTTAGAGTTAAAAACTGCCCTATCTTATAGGTAGAAAACTTTTCTGCTAAAAGAAGCATGGGAGAAATATTTGACATGCATTAAAGGAAAAAACTGGTTTAGAAGCCAATAAAGAGAGAACACACTGCATGCACCCCCCTCATCAATATCATCTCCTGAGTTTTCAAAACAAACATGTTCTTCCTGCTCCAACACAAACTCCCATGCTAATCGTGCGAAAACACAGCAATCCACCAACTTCCACGTTTACAAATGATAAAGTTTAAAAACGCATCTCTCAATAAATGAAAATGTTTTCTGACTTTGAGGAATAAAAAAGGTTTTCTCAGTTGACTGCCTTAAAACTGTCTAATACTCGGAATTTCTCATGTACCATTTAATTTGGCTATGTTTTAAAAATACAGCACGTGGTTTTAATTCTTGTTTAAAGTCTAACGTCAGAGGACAAGGCCTCACAGTTCCCTGGTAGCTTGTTGGCTGAACAGTATCGACACAGCGAAATTACAAGACTTTCTTTTTAAGATTCGAATTTACTTTTTGAGATGTGAGACAGCACTGCAGCACCCCCAAAATCATCTGGCTGATGGCGAAAATGCACAGTAAAAATCGTATGCTGTGAATGATACCAACAACAACAACAATCTGTCCCGAACCTAAAGCTCCCTTCCCAGGTCTTCCAACAGGTCACATGGAGTGACTGCACACTTCTTTCCTCCTCATGGAAGATTGAGAAAGGAGAAAACTTAGAGCTCAGGGGCAGATACCAGGAAGACCCAAGGACAGGGCCAGGTCTGTTTAAATGAAGACACAGGTGACATTAGGATGAAACGATCCTGGGAGGTGGACACAGTGAATTTAATGAACAACAGCCTTAATTTTGAGAATAGTGTCGATTGCTGGTTTTTAAACTCATTATGGGCCTCAGACATTGTTTAAATAAACTCTTTTCCTCCCCCTCCCACTCCCCGGCGCCTTAAACCTGCATCATCCTCTCTTAGTTCTCTGCACTAATTGCTGGCAGTCAGATGGCACAGACAATAATTTAGGGTCCAGTGAAAGTAACACAGCTTGATAGCAGAGTCTTGGAGACTGAGGAAAGGAAGATAGAGGTGAATCTCTAGAAAAATTGAGTGTTTCTCTTTGTAGAAGCTATAATAATAATTTTTTTAAAAAGGTGCCTTAACTTTGCTAATTACCTAAGGTGACTTGTGGAAATTCACTAAACTAGAAATTGTTATTTTTTGGTTTTTGGAAGTGTGCATTGTTGCAAGCAAAAATAACACAAAACAAGGTTAAGCCCATTTTAAGCTCCCCGATATGACATCCAGAGACACACTACACAGTACAGTATTAGAGCAGAAAATGATTTGCAAAAATCATTTAGAGTAAAATCAAATTTCTATTTCAACAAATATATCATCAGATTAATTGTATCATTGATTAACTGTTGCTATGCCTTTATTCATACCAGAAAAATGGTCACATTTAAAATTCTCAAAATAGTTTTGGCACAGGTCACATCCACTTATTTTGCTAAGTCCCTGAGCGCGTTGAACAGGCTGACCTTAGGCATCGGGCGCTTCCCCAGACACCCTGGTCCTCTCCCCAGAATGCCTTGCTACCTGATCTGGCCTCAAGGCTACTTTCACTCTTCCCACCATTAACTCTTGGTGAACATTTAATGCTATCACGTTTCTAGCCAATGTGCTCTGCAGAAACCATGGAGCATCTCTGACAAGAAGACCTAGAGCCCCCGCCCCAAAATGGACCTCATACCATCTTCCCTACGCTTACTGACAGGGAAGGGGAACCTTTTGTGTATCCTTCCTATTATTCATAAAATTGCCTGTAATGGTCAGTGTTTTAATGTCTCCAAAGCCTTATGTCTCAGATGCTCCTCCAAACACTGGATAGCAAAGAGGTCAATATTCATGTCAAACTTATTGGCAGACAAGTGGTGCTTGCGCAGCATCCAGTTCAAGTCGCCAGCTCCGAAAATGCACACCGAGCGCACGAGCACCCCGCCGCACAGTGGGTAGGGAGCACCCTTGGAAACATCACCCTCAAAGTACTGCCACTTGACAAACCTGGCAACCGCGTGCATGTCAGACAAATCGTACTTATGGCTGGCAGGGCGTGATCCCCGGACTTCAGGAATCCTCTGGATGGTAGCCCAGAGATACTCATCAGGGCTACATGTGTCTTGCGCCCACTCCATAAACTTTTGGATTTTTTCATTCTGTAGTACATACCCCACATACTCCCTACTGACCACAAAGTAGGCACTGCCAGAAAAAGGGGGCGTTTCCAGCGGAGGAAGCATTTTGACAGTCCCTGTGTTTGTCAACTTTCCATGAATGACCTCAGACCGCTTTTTCCGCCTTTCTTCTTCACTGGATGGCATCCTCTCCGTTTCCAGGCTGTTTTCTCCCATCAACAGCTTGAGCTTCCTGACATTTTCTAGGTTGGTTTTAATAGGAAAATCCATACCACAAAGAGTTATCAAGTACTTCCAGTTCGCCCTCATTGTACGGAAGTCCTTCATGCAGTTGAGGTCAGCCTGAACCCGGCTCCCCGAGGCATAAACCACACTCTCCGATGGGCTGGCCACGAAGACGTTACTGAAACAGGAAGCAATGCCCATCACTGCAGCTAAATAGGAATCCTCCGATTTTTTGTCCGCATGAACGCAATAGAAATTCTGAGGCATATAGATGGCCCTCAGTAGCCCATCAAGCATTTCGATCTTGTGATGAACCACGATAGAACATGCTATTGGAAACTCTGCCTCTTCTTTACTAAGGGGCTCTACGATATATTTGCGCCTCTTGATGAAAGAATCAGTCACTGGTCGTTTATATAGTCATCAGGTGTTCACCGAGGGCGCTTTTTAAATTTCACTGTTAGGATCTCAAGCTTTACCTTTTGGATTTCATTTACATCACCCTGTAAAACTTTGGTGCAGGTAACATCACTGCTGGGATTCTCCCCAGCAAGCTCCAAGTGTCTGACACTTACAAATTCGGGCTTCTGATGAATCCTTAAAACGGAGAAGGTGATTAGGGAAAACACAAAGACCACAAAGTAGTATTTAGTGGGATAAGAAAAAAGTCTCCTTCGCAGCCACTTCCTGAGCATTTCAAACAACAATCAGGGATTTCCTTTGTGAAGGGCAGTCTTCTGCGCTCCAGGCTCCAGTGATTTTTCCTCCGTTGTGGCCTTGAACATTGTCAGTTTGCATTTATCAGAACTGCAATGGCATCTTGAAATGAAGACCATCACCGGAGTGGGCGTCTGGCCCGGAGGCGCAGGAAGACATCCTGCCGCTCCTCGTCCGCCAAGCTCCCGCCCCGCGCGGCGCTCCAGGCGCTGGGGAGCTGCACCTGCAGCCCTCGGCTTTTTTCACTCATTGTCTATGTGAGATTCAGCCACATGGTTGTACGTGGTTGTAGAATTTTTCGTGCTCATTGCTGTATGGTATTCTATTGTGTGAATATACCACTAAAAATTCAATTATAGGCGTAAGTAATATCTGGTTTTTGGCTTTGAGTCATGTAGCGACACACATCTCTTGGGCATACATACTTAAGAGTAGAATTTATGAATCATGTGACAGGCCTATGTGTAGTTTTTGTAGCCAGTGCTAAACACTTTTCCAAGTACTGGACTTGTATCAATTTTCCCTACCTCCAGAAGTGTATGGGAGTTCTAGTTGCTCAATAAATACCTTAACATGATTTAGTATTTTTCATGCTTTTCGTTTTAGCTATGGTGGTGAGTATAGTGGTATCTCAGCATGGTTGAAATTTTTTAATAAGATACATAATAGAGGTACATGTGATCATTTAATATCGTCACAAAATTTGTCAAGATCAAGTCAATGTCATTGGGATATATATCGTCTTAAATATTTCTCTTTTATTTATGCTAGAAACATTTGAATTATTCCCATTTTGCTATTTTGAAATATACAATAGATTATTGTAAACTATACTCAGTCTTATTGGTCAAACCGTACCTTTGTACCCGTTAATCAACCTTTCTTCATTCCCCTCCCCTTACTCGCCTCCGGTGACCACCAGACTGCTCGTTTATTGTCATGGGATCTACTTTTTAAACTTTCACATATTGAGTGAGAACATACAGTATTTGTCTTCCTGTGTTTGACTTCTTTCACCCAACATAATGACTTCTAGTTTCATCTGTTCTGCTCCAAAGGATAAGTTTGTTTGTTTTTTTGGCTGGATAATAGTCCATTGCATATATATGCCACATTTTCCTTGTTTGTTCATCCTTCGATGGGGACTTAGGTTGCCATATTTTGGCCATTGTGAATAGTGATGCGGTAAACGTGGAAGTGTAGCTATCTCTTCGATAGATTAATTTTCTTTCTTTTGAATATATGTCCAGCAGTGGAATTGCTGATTTCCATTTACCTTTCTCTGATGACTAATGATGTTAAACACTTTTCATAGATTCATCATCTAGAAGTATATCGTCTTTGTCAATCACCTACTCAAGTCTTCTGCCCATTTTTTTCCATTGGGTGATCTGCTTTTTTAAAAAAATGTTGATTTGTAGTTTTTCATATTTTCTAGCTATGAGTCTTTTGACAGATATTTGTAATAAGACTATCTTACCCACCTTTGTGAGTTGGCTTTTATTCAATTAATGATGACGTTAGAGAAGAGTTTCAATTTTAATGTTTCAGTTTATCAATTTTAAATAGAGCTCTCTATTTTTTTTTTTTTTTTTTTTTTTGAGACGGAGTTTCACTCTTGTTACCCAGGCTGGAGTGCAATGGCACGATCTCGGCTCACCGCAACCTCCACCTCCTGGGTTCAGGCAATTCTCCTGCCTCAGCCTCCTGAGTAGCTGGGATTACAGGCATGCGCCACCATGCCCAGCTAATTTTTTGTAGTTTTAGTAGAGACGGGGTTTCACCATGTCGACCAGGATGGTCTCAATCTCTTGACCTCGTGATCCACCCACCTCGGCCTCCCAAAGTGCTGGGATTACAGGCTTGAGCCACCGCACCCGGCCTATTCTTCATTTTTGATAGAGACATCATCTCCCTATTTGCCAAGGTTGGTCCCGCACTCCTGGGCTCAAGTAACCCTCCCACCTTGGCCTCCCAAAGTGCTGGGATTACAGGCGTGAGCCACCGCGCCTGGCGAGCTCTCTATATCTTAAGAAATATTTGCTAAATCTTTGCCATGTTCTCTATTATTTCATCTGAAAAATTTACTATTTTACCTCTCACATTTAGACCTGCTATCAATGTGGCATTGATATTTTTATTCAGTGAGGTAGAGGTCAACATACATTCTTTTTCCTGAAGTGTGGATATTCAATGGATCCAGTGCCATTTACTGAAAAAAAATCCTTTCCTTGCTCCATTGCAGTGGAAATCTTTATCATCAGTCCGGTGACTATATATATGAATCTGTTTCTGGAATCTTAATCTGTTTCATTTGTCAGTTTGCCTATCCTTATATCAATACTCTACATATTAATTATTATATCTTTTAATATGATTGTTACATGATTTGCTTGTTCTTCTTCTCTAGTATTTCCTTTTTTTCTTTGAGACAGAGTCTTGCTGTGTTGCCCAGTCTGGAGTATAGTGAATGGTACAGTCTCAACTCACTGCAGCCTCTGCCTCCTGGGCTCAAGCAATTCTCCTGCCTAAGCCTCCCAAGTAGCTGAAATTATGTGCCACCATGCATGACTAATTTTTGTATTTTTAGTGGAGAGGGGTTTCACTATGTTGACCAAGCTGGTCTTGAACTCCTGGCCTCAGGTGATCCACCTGCCTCAGCCTCCCAAAGTGCTGGGATTATAGGCGTGAGCCATGGCACCTGGCAGGAATTAGTGTCCTTTTAAAAGAAACTCCAGAGAGCTCCCTTGTCCCCTTCTGCCATGTGAGAACACGGCAAAAAGATGGCCATCTATGAATCAGGAAGTGGGCACTCACCAGACACTGGATATTCTGGCAAATGGATCTTGAACGTCCCAGCCTCCAGACAGAACTGTGAGAAATAAATGTGTGCTATGTATGTCACTCAGTCTATGGTATTTTGTTATGGCAGCCTGAATGGATTAAGACGTGTTCTTTGAAGGTATTGAGACCCTTCCCTGTTCCCCAACAGCTTTTAGGGTTTTGTTAATGGTTGGTTTTTGGTAGTTTTCTCCATTATGCCTGCATTTGGTTTTCTTTCCATTTATACTGCTTGGGATTTGCTGAGCTCCTTCAACTTGTAGTGTTATGTCTTCTGTTGGTTTGAAAAATTCTTGGTTAATTATCTTCTCAAACACTGATCCTGTTCCATTCTCTTTCTCCTGTTCTTCTGGGACTCCAGTTATATATAATTAGGCCTTCTGTGCATGTTCCATGTATCTCTTATGGATGCATCTGTTTCTTTTTTCCTTTTTTTTTTTTTTTTGTGCTTCAATTTAGGTATTTCATATGACCTGTCTTCTAGTTTATTGATTCTGTATCTTGATATATCCAACTTTTTAAATTCATCAACTGAGTTCTGAATTTCATGAATTGTATTGTTCACTTCCAGAATGTCCATTGTGCTTTTTTATTTATGTCATTTGCTAGTAAAAGTTATTCATCTTTTTATCTATTTCACATACTAATTGTTATTTTAAATTCCTTATCTCCCATGTCTAAGATCAGAACATCTTCCAATCTTTATTTTTTTGGTCTTAATTATTAGGCATGTCATTTTGCCTCTTGCATGTGTGTAGTAATATTTTATTATGTGCTGGAAGTTATGGATACCAGGGTTATAGTGACTTCAAGGGTTGTTTTCTCTACCAGAGATGGTTCTTCTTTTCCTCTTTTATGCAGATATGGTGAGTGGGTTGATCCCCTCAATTCGATCAAGAATTGATTTGGGCTTAGGATTGGGTTGTAACTTTAGGAAGGTTAAGTTAACTTGTTTTCCTAGATTGTTTCCTCCTTGGGATTTTCATGCATCTTGGTCTCCGTAGCCCTGAAAAGTAATGAGAACCTTTCTTCAGAGGTTTTTAGCTTAGTTCTTTGGACTTTGCCTCCATGAAAATTCAATGTTTGGCAAACATCTTGAGGGAGGGACCAGATAAGTGTTCAAAGAAGGCCTCTTCTAACTGTGTGTTTTCTTCCTCAGTCCTGAAAGTCGGCAGAAGATTTTTTTCTGCGTTTTAGTAGCCTCTGCCGAAGTTTCCAGCATTCTATCAGAGCCAGAAAGTGTCTCATGGGGAGAACAGTAAATGGGTTTGAGGCCCCTCAGGTTTCAAAATTGTTATTCCAATCTTGAGTGAATGCTACATGCTTCCATTTCCCCCAGCACAGATCCTCTACCTCAGTCTGTGCTCAGATTCAGCAACATTTTTTTTTTTTGGGATAGAGTCTCACTCTGTTGCCAGGCTAGAATGCAGTGTCATGGTCTCAGCTCACTGCAACCTCTGCCTCCTGGGTTCAAGAGACTCACCTTCCTTAGCCTGCTGAGTAGCTGGGATTACAGGTGTGTGCCACCATGCCCAGCTGTTTTTTTTTTTTTTATTTTTGAGATGGAATCTCACTCTGTCACCCAGGTTGGAGTGCAGTGGCACAGTCTTGGCTCACTGCAACCTCCGCCTCCCTGGTTCAAGTGACTCTTCTGCTTCAGCCTCCCAAGTAGCTGGGATAACAGGCATACGCCACCACACCCAGCTAATTTCTGTATTTGTAGTAGAGACAGAGTTTCACCATGTTGGCCAGGATGGTCTCGATCTCTTGACCTTGTGATCCGTCCACCTCAGCCTCCCAAAGTGCTGGGATTACAGGCTTGAGCCACCGCGCCCGGCCCAGAAAATTTTTTAAAATGTAAAAAAGAAAGAAAATTTATGACATTGATTTGGTTGCTTTGTAATGTTGGTAAATGTTATACATATAGTATCTGTAGCAAAAGGCAGCTGGAACAGTAAATGAAATTATGCAAATAGAGCTTCAGCATTTTACATAATGTGGTATGACATTAACTGTAAATGGCCTGTGAGAAGCTAAGTATGTATATTGAAATCCCACAGCAACAAATGAAAACATAAAATAAAGGGGAATAACTTTATTCAATAGGAATCATGAAAGGACTTCTAAAAGGAATTATACAAAGGACTATTACCATGGCTGGAGCGTCCTCTCTGCTTGTTGAAGTTCTATCCATGTTTCCCGCTGGTGCACACATCCTGACTTAGTTGACTACCTGTCCTTATTATTCTGTATTCCCTCTACAGACCCTCTGTGGAGTCAGAGGAAGAGCATTCAGCACGAGGAAAACTGGGCACAAATACGAGATCTGCATTTTTCTAATTGAAATACATGGACTAAGTCACTTTATCTTTTCGAGATGTGACATCTTCGTCTGGAAGGAGGGCTATTGCCATCTGTGCCACAAGACTGTTTTGAAAATTGAAAGAGATGATAATATATGTGATACACTAAATGCACACACCCACATGCATACGTACATCTCATATTTAATGAAATGGCTACTTTCTCTGAACCTACCTGGCACATTTTTACTTTTTTGTCGCACTTTCTTCCTTGTTTCATTTTTTTCAAAAACAAATACTTGAGTGCTCAGTGAATAGTTCGTGATAATACACTGTGCTACGTCCCTTGACTGATATAAGAGGGAGAGAGACCTATAGTTTGACTTGGAGGGACGTCAAGTCTTGACTGTACAAGTGTTTTCCTTCCCCAGCTAGAATCCTCATTCTCCATCATGGCTTGCTTTCTTGAAATTTATTCATTCTGCAGTCCTCTTTGTTTGAAAACTTTACTTACCAGCTCCCCTCTGATCCATGTTTTGTTAATTTTGTTCCAAAGCATTATATCTTCATTCTACTATTTAATTCAATACCTCCACAAGAGTCACAGGAACACTAAAAACACTCCCAAAATGGAACTATTTTTTTCCTAAATTATTCTTTTGTTCACTAATGTCATTAAGGGCATCTTTTTCCCTTTAGACACAAACTCAAAATCTTGTAGACATCTTCTTATTTATTGTTATGGTAATAATTCATTCTATTGTTTCTATTTCCACATTACCTTTGCATCTAGACGGTAGATGCAAAGAAGGATACCTTCTCATACAGTATCTATCCTCTTTGGTACTTACTATTTCACTATGGGCAATAAACATCTCCTTCCATTTGGCCTTACTGAGTTTTTTTTTTTTTTTTTTTTTTTTAAAAGGGGTTTACTTATGTTACCCAGGCTGGAGTGCAATGGCGCGATCTCGGCTCACCGCAACCTCCGCCTCCCGGGTTCAGGCAATTCTCCTGCCTCAGCCTCCTGAGTCGCTGGGATTACAGGCACGCTCCACCATGCCCAGCTAATTTTTTGTATTTTTAGTAGAGACGGGGTTTCACCATGTTGACCAGGATGGTCTCGATCTCTTGACCTCGTGATCCACCCGCCTCGGCCTCCCACAGTGCTGGGATTACAGGCTTGAGCCACCGCGCCCGGCCCGGCCTTCCTGAGTTTATCCATAACAGCAAAATTAGTCTTGTATTCATTTTGTATCTTCACTCTCTCTTCCCCAAATTGCTTTAAGCGATGTCTAATTTAATTAGATTCCTGGTCTCATCACACTTCCCTCCTCCCTCACTGCTCTCTTATCTATCCATCTTGATTAAAGAGAAGTTCTTTTCATGGTTTCATTCAGAGCTTTTATCTATGTATCTATATAACTCTCTATCATAATTTCAAAATATCCCTGGACTCACCACTTAATCTGAATATTAGGACTGTAATAATAACCTTATTCCCCCACCTCCCCTCTTGAATTTTCTCTTATCCTGAATCCTGTGGTCATTCTTTCTTTTGCTTTTGTTTTTATTATTATTTTTATTAATGACTGTCATTTTAGTAAGATTTTAGGACGAGTTGTGTTATCTTTAGATATAGTCTAGTCTAAACTATGAAGTAAGCACGAAAATATTTCCCCAGGTCAGTTTCTTGAAAGGTTTTAAGAATGAAAAAACCATGTCTGGTTTGATTATCTCTAATTATAAAATTACATTTCAGAAACGAATATCTCCTTCATTCATTCCACTTCCACCAATATTTATTGGATGCACTTTATATGACCGAGATTGCGAAGGTACAGTGATGTGTAAAGACAACTCCTACCCTCAGAGGCTTGCAAGCCTAATAAGGGTGATTAAACTTAATAGTCAAATAAAAATGGACACATGAATAGTGATTTGCAATATTAAAAGCAGGAGCTATTGTGGTCAACACACCATGTGACCCATGTAGGGCACTTACGATTATTCCTAACATTTAGATGTGAAAGCTGAGGCTCAGATCTTCCCAACTTGACTCTGCTAGTCAGGATTCACACCCAATATTACTCTACTGCCACTCTGCCAGAAAGAGCAGCAATTAGTTGAAAGTGATAATTTCAATAAGATGGCTCATTAAAATGTTGTAAGATTTCCGAGAAAATGAATTTCAGGCTGGAAAGAACAAAGACTGCCTCTCGTAGGAGGATGACATCAGAGCTGGATTTCCAATATACCATAATTGGTGACTACAGTATCATTGATGCCCTCACATTGGTTTTGAGGAAATTCTCTTGCTGAAGAGTTTCCACAGGGCAGCCTTCATGTCCCGATTTCTCAGACTATAGATGAAAGGATTTAACACTGGGGTCACTGCCATGTACATTACAGTTACCACCGCATCTTTTAGGCTGTAATTGCTCAAAGGGCGGAAATACATGCCCATGACGGTACCATAATACAAACAGACAACTGTGAGGTGGGAACCACAGGTGGAGAAGGTCTTGACCACGCCCTTGGTGGAAGGAACCCGGAAGACTGTGGAGAAGACCTGAACATAGGAGACAATGATGCATAGTAACGGCAGAGAGAAAACACCAACCCCTAAGTACATCATCTTCACATTAAAGTGGATGTCAGAACAGGACAGCTTTAGCAAGGGGGTAATGTCACAGTAGAAATTGGCCACTTCCTGGTTTCCACAGAAGGACAAACTAGCTGTGAGGAGAGTGTGGAAGACAGCGTTGGCATTTCCAATCACCCAAGACCCAACAACTAGGAGGACACAAGACCGTGGACTCATAATTGCTGTGTAGTGAAGTGGACGGCTGATGGCCACAGCTCGATCATATGCCATGGCAGCCAAAATATAGCTGTCTGTGTTCCCCAAAGCTATCATGAAATACATCTGCATTAGGCATCCCCCAAAAGAGATCGATTTGCTGCCCAAGAGATGGTTGGCCAGCATCTTAGGGATGGTTACAGATGAGAAGAAGATGTCAACCAAGGAGAGGTTGGCAAGAAAAAAATACATGGGGCTGTGAAGACGAGCATCAGAGCAAATGGCTAGGATGATGAGCAGGTTTGCAATCAATGTGGTGGGGTAAATGAACAGGAAGAGGATAAAGAAGAAATCTTCCTGTTCCTGCTGACCGGTAACTCCCAGGAGGATGAATTCAAGTGTAGAAGACTGGTTATTTTCCCTCATGGCTTCTTCAGCACGAAAGAGAAGAGGAATATTATTATATTAGCATAGTTACTGTGTTTAGTGATAATCCTCCATCACTTCTGACTTAAGTAATGCAGCTGTCTATACACCTGAGTTTATTAAATCATAGGGATAGCCAATATTTTGGGGGAAAATCCCTGTAGGTCAATAGGACTAATTGTCATTCACTCCTTGACAGACATGTCTGAAAAGTGAGCAGTCTCTAAATCAAAAATGCCCATCCTTCCTGTTCCAAGCACCACCATTAAACACCTAGAAATTAATCATATAACAAATATTTAAGTGTCATATCCTATGGTCTAGTCACTTTGCTAGACCTCATGAAGAAATCGTAAATATGTGACAAATACAGTTTATTCATCTATTTATTCAAGACATGGTCTCCGTTCTCAAGAACATTACAACTTAATGGAGAAGCCAAAATGACACACTAATTTTATTACACATGATAAGGAAAGGACAGCATTTTGAAGTCTTTGACAAACTACCCCAGTGCATTTAGGTCCTACTAAAGCAGTCTGGAGAATTTTCCTCCCAGGTGTCTCATTTTCAAAGTAAATTTTCATTTCCTTTAAAAAAAAATAAGGAAAAAAATAGGTTTTTATCTCTTTGGCAAGCCCTCAAATATATACCATCACAATGTCTTTCTTCCCAGTCTTCTCTTTCTGGGTGATTCACACAACTCCTTAGTGGCTTCAACCATTGCTTAGTAAGCTGTCAGCTCTACCTGTAGGTGTGAACTTTTCCTTCCATTTTTCCACTTCAGTCATCTACCAACATGACCTAACTGCATACACTGCACATCCAACCTAAGATGAGGGCAAGATTTTGGGAGAAGGAAAACCACAACTTGTTTATTTTACCACCTTCAAATAGATTATTATGGAATATTTCCATTTTTTACTTTTTTTTTCCAAGACAGAGTCACCTAGGCTGAAGTGCTGTGGTGCGATCTTGGCTCACTGCAAACTCTGCTTCCCAAGTTCAAGTGATTCTCCTGCCTCAGCCTCCCAAGTATCTGGGCTTATAGGCATTCACCACTATGCCTGGCTAGATTTTTTTGTATTTTTAGTAGAGACAGGGGTTTCACCATATTGGCCATGCTGGTCTCAAACTCCTGACTTGAGGCGATCCGCCCGCCTTGGCCTCCCAGGGTGCTGGGATTATAGGTGTAAGCCACCATGCCCAGCTGAATACTTTCTATTGTATGTATCAGTAAGTTTTCTCTTAAAATTTCTTGAGTCAAATCCAGGTGTGTTTCTTGCATTCCCCACATGGGGGATGCTCACAAGCTTAATCACTCAGTTTATCTCTCACCTCTACATCTAATCTTGTTGATTCTTTATTTAAAATAATTATTACATAACTCAGCCTTTCTACTAAATGTCTCAATGCTTAGCTCCGTCGTTGTTTTCTACCTGAATTACTGTAATGCTAACTTAACTGCCTGACTCTAGGTTCCCTCCTCTTTGATCCATCTTGTACTCTAAGACTTAAATTATAGCAGCAACTATCAGCTGCTTAGTCAAATCCATATTGTTCTCTTCTTCCTGGACATTCAATTAGACTACATTTCCCAGACTCCCTTGCAGTGAGGTGTGCTCATGTGACTGAATTCTAGCCATTCCACATATATGTCCCAGTTCTGGGCTCCTCTACACCTTCTTACCCTCATGCCAATTGGATGCAAATGGAGAGGAGGCTGAACAGGAGGATGGTAACATATGGTAGAATGAACCTGTATCCCTAGTACTCCACATTCAGAAGAACCTCTCACCACCAAAGACATTTATTGTAACTGTGATGTAGGAGAGAAATAAACCTTTACTTTGTTTAAGCCATTTTACATTTTGCGATCGACTTGTGACAGCAGTCCAGGATATCATACGGCATTTACTAATTTTTCTAAAGAGGTCTTGATTCAAAAATTTACTAAATCTATAATTAATTCAATCCTCACTTCTCAACATCTCTCATTGTACATGTTTGAGTAATATGCTAGGCATGAGGGATGTAGGTCTAATTATCTTTATCATTTCTATTGATTCAGGAGGTAGAAAGAAATTATCTAGGCAGATAGAGTAAAAGAGTCTTTGGCAGAACTTCCCTTTTTAACAAAAAGCAGCCCCAATTTTTTTTTCTCACAGGGCAACCTGAGAAATCGAGCTGCAAACATAGATAAGCAAGCTGGAAGCCTGCACAGAAGGCTGGCAGCTGTGACAATAGAAGAGGGCCACCTGGTGGCCTGACATAGCCAACATATAGGCTGCATCTTCCTTTTTTTTTTTTTTTTTTTTTTTTTGTTATCACAAAATAAGGGACTGGGCAACATGGTGCAGGCCAGACAGAGAACCTACCTGCATAATTAAAGATTAGGGTGGGGGCTACCAGAAATTCATGCTTTATTGCAAATGTCACTTCTAGTCCTAACCAGTTTTTCATCCCCTATGCAAATGGAACACCTGGTCCAGCCAATCTTTCCTGCCCCATGTAAATCAGACCCTGCCTCCTCACCAGCCATCTAAAACTCCCCATGCATTTCACTGCAGATCCGGCAGCCCATTCATTTCTCCAGGACCCCTCTCTCCAGCAGAGAGCTATTCTCTTTCTGTCACCTGTTAAACTTCCACTTTTAACCTCACTCTTTGTGTGTCCATGTCCTTGAGCCATGAGACAACGAACCTCAGATATGACCCCAGACAAGGAGGCCATTCCATAATTATGATGCACTTTCTCATATCTGCACCTAAAGAAGTTTGATTTTCTCTCTTGAGATGCCCTCCCTCTTGTTCAAACAGAATCATAATACTGCAGGTTTCAAATGGGTCAGTAAATCTGGAGAGCCCAGAGAGCATGATTAGCTCATATGGTATGAAAATGTGATTCAGAGGTGGAGCTCTTGGCATCATGGCAGACTGAGTTGATGATGACGGTTCTCATTCCTGTTAAAATACATTGAAGTTATATAAAAATATCAAAGTAAAGAAAAAAACCCAAAACACATAATCATACCTAAAAGAAAGAAATAGGAATATTTTAGTATGAGAAACAAAAATAAAACTCAGAACAAGAAACATGAGCCATAGCGATGCTATGGTGGCCCCTTGGGGGGTCTCCACTCAGACATTAGGTAGTTCTTATGAGCTGGGTTTACAGATGTGACCACATATCCACACAAAGCAGGGAGATTAATTTGAGACTGTTAAAAACAACCCTATGTGTGAAGAGAGCACTAGAAAGAATTTTGCCATATAAGAATTAGAAATAAAAGAACAAAAAGATAAGAATTAACGGAAAATATGATTGTCTACAAAGAAAACCTAAGGGAATCTCTAGATAAAGATATTTTGGCAAGTTTGTTCATTATAAACAAATATTTCAAAACTCAATACTCGTACTTAAAATCATTTCTTATACTTAAGAAACACTAAATTAGAAAATACAATTCATTTTTCTTTTTTCCCAGAGACCCTTTTCCTAGTGCAAGAAAATATAATTTTAACAAAGATTTACTTTAAAAAAACACAAAATAGCCATAGAAAATTTTAAGGAATCTAGATATAATTCTAATAAGAGATCCAAAATTGATTTTAAAAATTAATAAGCTTTACTGAAGAACAAAAAAAAGAATATTTAAAAGGTGATAAGGTAAATTACATTAATGGAAGACTCAATGTTGTAAAAATGTCAATCCTCTTCCAATTAATCTAAATTTAATGCAACCCCAAACCAAATACAAGTTTCTTTTAAACATCAGTTTAGCAAACTGATCCAAAAATTCATGTAGGAGGCCAGGTGCAGTGGCTCACATCTGTAATCCCAGCACCTTTGAAGGCTGAGGTGGGTGGATCACCTGAGGTCAGGCATTCGAGACCAGCCCGGCCAACATGACAAAACCCCATCTCTACTAAAAATATGAAAATTAGCCGGGCATGGTGGTACACACCTGTAATGCCAGCTACTTGGGAGGCTGAGGCAGGAGAATTGCTTGAACCCAGGGGTGAAGGCTGCAGTGAGCTGAGATCATGCCACTACACTCCAGCCTGAGGGAAAGAGCAAAATTCTGACTCAAAAGAAAAACTTGGAATAAAGAGGAGAGACAAGACAATTTGAGGAAAGAAAAAGAAGAAGAAATTGTCTCATTAGGTATAAAAAAGGTTTACTGTGATAATTCAGTCACTGGAGTAATACTGACTTAGAGACTGACAGAGAAAATCAGTATTTGGTCTAACAGACTTGGGAGGCCAGATGCAGATGAAGTGTTTCTTAGAGGGTGGCGTATGGCATGAGGTGGATTGGAAACAGGTAGGGAATGGATGAACCGACTAGCCCAGAGTTATTGCACAACTGGTTATCTATATATGAGAATACAGAAATATAATTCCTAAAGGGTTAATCTGGAAAGCAAAACACCAAAACATTTAGTGGAAAATTTGTGTATGCTATCAATATAGGAATTGATTTCCTACAAACTCATAAGAAAAAGACCAACAGGCTGGGCGTGGTGGCTCAGCACTTTGGGAGCCTGTAATCTCAGCAATTTGGGAGGCTGAGGCGGGTGGATCACCTGAGGTCGGGAGTTCAAGACCAGCCTGGTCAACATGTGAAACCCCATCTCTCCTGAAAATATAAAAATTAGCCAGGCATGCTGGCAGGCGCCTGTAATTCCAGCTGCTCAGGAGGCTGAGGCACGAGAATGGCTTGAATCCAGGAGGCGGAGATTACAGTGAGCCGAGATTACACCACTTTACTCCAGCCTGGGCCACAGAGTAAGATTCTGTCTCCAAAAAAAAAAAAAAAGAAAAGAAAGAAAGAAAAGGACCAATAAGATGGCAGAAGATAGTGGGCCAAAGACTTGGATAGGTGAGTCATAGAGAGGAAATTGGCATGACCCAATAAGCAAAAGACCTTTAATTAAATTAAAAAATAAATTTAACATATTTAATCTTAGAGTGTGTAAAGTGTAAAACTCTGACAAT